AATAATAATAATGTCGGTTGGTACATATCATCGGCATACGTGCATAGGTTTTACATTAACTAAAATATTATATAAGATTGAATGAATATGAACGAAAAGAGGGGGACTTCATTTTGTTTCGACATATCTTACGTAACTGAGGGACCCGATACTGAGCGGCGCTGGTGTCAATCCCAACTCAAAAGTTCGCGTATCCGTCCTTTCGGTATTACCGAATGTACGAAATTAAAAAAAAAAAAAAAAAAAAGGCACGAGTCTGGGATAGTCGCCAATGGCATAATAATTTCATCAAAATCTGTCCAGCAGTTCTCGACTTGAAGCAACCGCCCTATATTTTTTTTTTCAATTTTAAGGCTTTCAATATCAGGTTCATAAGAACCTGTCACTGGACCATATCCTCATCCAGACGAATTCAGACCAAACTCTGTACAAAATGTTAGTCCATGATTAATAATGCATGACTATCATTACAGTTAATCGTACACGAAATAAATAATTTATTAATTTTCGAGGCAATCCAATTTGAGATTTTCTCTCAGTTGTCAGTTCTCACACTCCCTAATGTCCCCAGTAAACAATCCCATGGCCCATAATCGGAAGCCTGCGCCATACTTTTGCAATTACAAATAAAAAAATACCAAGAATGTTGCTACGATTTCACACTTTGTCTACTGCTACAAATGTTTAAGCATCTGTACTCACAGCCATTTGTGCCCTTGGTGAAAAACTTCCTGACAATTGCTGTCTTCTCATTGTAACTCTCTGTCTCTGACAACGTAGCACACAATCTCCTGAACTGCCTGAAGGAGTTATCTTTATGAGATTCTTTTTCTGGAGGAGTGGAATCCTCCTTTCCCTTGTGTCTCCCTTTGGATGTCTTTGTCATTTCTGGCTTCGTCGACCCAGCTTTAGCTGGTGATTTTGGTTTCCGCGTCCAGCCTACAAAATAGGAAAGATTTTTTGTTTCGTATTTCCACTACTTCGCCTTCTACACCGAGTGTTAACACAGAAGTAACTTCACATTGCTATAACCCAGAAGACAGCCGTCTTCCTGCACGTTTCGTGATCATAACTCCGAACGTGAAAAACAGTGACAACTGTGTGTAAAGATTTCAGTAACAACATGCTTTTAAGTATATCAAATCTAAAACTTCTTGCCGATGGTGAAGAGTCAATTGAATAAAAATTTACTTGGATATTATCCATCGTCTAGTAAATATAAAACGTAAAACGACGTTTCGGAGATGGGACTCTATCTCCTAGGTCTTCCTAGGTCCGGAGATAGGGATTAGCTCTATCTAGTGGGCCCAACTGTGTAGGAACCTGAAGACGGAGATAGAGTCCCATCTCCGAAACGTCGTTTTTTACGTTTTATATTTACTAGACGATGGATAATATCCAAGTAAATTTTTATTCAATTGATGCTTTTAAGTGTTCCCCAGTTTGCTTTTAGGTTATGTCATGTATTTTTGAACGAGACGGGAAAAAGATAATGAATAGTGAACACGTATGGACTTGGAAGGAGACGATCGTGATATATTTTAAGGTAGTCTTCCAGCATTCGCTTGCAGACACTAATTTAATACCAAGAGGGACCTGTTGTCAGAATAGCCACTGACCCCATCAAGATTCAAACCAAGTAACAGACAAATATGAAGCACACTTGGTCTAATACCTTTACATTTCGGCAAGTGCCTCAGTATCTCATCTTGGTCTTCTTCTTCCAAATCACTCCAGCCCTCGATGTCATCCGGGGTCTTGATGCTGGCTGTGGTCTGCTTCTGACCAGCGAACACTTCGAACAGGCAATCCACGTGGTGCCACATCTTCATGGGGAATGGCCCAAAAGGGTTGTAGCCATACTTGGCGAGCCGAAGGGCACCAGCATCAAGTTTATTCTTGCATTTCCTGCAAACCGCACGCCCCGACCTGGCACGTTCGGCGCAGAATTTCTTTTGTGTT